CTCAGAGCGTTGTCCAAACCCTCCTGGAGCTCTGGCAGCCTTGGGGCTGTGCCCACTGCCCTGGGGAGCCTGGGCAGTGCCCAACCAGCCTCTGGGGGAAGAACCTTTGCCTGAGATCCAACCTGAGCCTGCCCTGACACAGCTCCAGCCATTCCCTGGCTGCTGTCCCTGCTCCCCCAGAGCAGAAGTCGGAGCTGCCCCTCGGGAGGAGCTGCAGCCCCCGCTGAGCTCTGCCCTCAGTCCCTTCTTCCCCAAGTGCCCCAATAGAAACAGAGCACGTGGCAGAGAAGAAACTGCAGGTCATGAGGAGGTGAAAGTAAAACCAAAAGATGAGCCTTTTCTGAGAAAAAGGGGGAGAATCAGGAAGATGTAATAAATATTGGCAGGCTGAAGTCTGAAGAGAGATTTTGAGGTGAAGAGAACAGAAACTGGAAGAAAAATGAGGAAGAAAAAGAAGAGTAGGTTTTTCCAGCCGTTAGTCCTGTTGGCTTTCCAGGAGGAGCCAGCAGGAAGCTGCCTGTGAGCTCTGGGGAGGGATGACCACGCCAGCCCTGTTCTCTCTGCCAGCTGGAGGGATGTCCCAGGCACAGGGAGAGCAGCAGGAACCAGATCCCTGCTCTGATGGAGTGCAGTGAGACACTGCTCAGCTACTCTGGGTTGTATCTGAGCTGAGCAGGGCGTCTTCAACCAGCTTTTTGGGAGCTTGTTCCCTTCCTCTGCCACACCTCAGAGTGGAGAAACCCTCCTGGGCTTCATCTTTTCTACCACTTAATGTTGCACTGTTCAGTTTTCCTTGGAGGGGTGTCAACCCGGATTAACTGCATCCACCAGGAGAGTTATCCTTTGCCATTGCCATTCCAGGAGTCTCATTTCCAGTAATGGGAAAAAATCTGTCCAAAGTGGCCTGAAGTGCCCTGGAATGGCCCTGCTGGCTGCTGGAGGCAGCAGGTGGGGTTGTTTGTTGACCAGTTCTTGGATTATTAACTTTCCCGCAGAGTTCCTCCACAACCAGCTGGGGCTCATGTGTTCCTCAGGTGGGCTGAGCATTTGGGTGATGCTGAATCATCTCAAGGAGCTTCCTTGCAACCCTGATTGTTACACACTTAGGAGTTGATATGGAGCCCATAGGGGAAAACACAGCATTAAGATGTTTTTCAGGCACTCTGGAGCTGGGAGTTCTGACATGTGAGTGTTTGAGCTTGTGGGAGGCAGCTTTCACTCTGTGCTTGCTGAGAAAGCCTCTGCTAAATCCACTTTACAAAGTGTGTGTTGTGAGTGGGGCAAAGAAGAGCAGCTTGGGCAAAAATCAACCTCATAAATCTGCTCCACAGTGTCTTTGATCTTGAGTTAGTGCTGTGCTGGAAGTGCAGTGCTCTGAGGCCAGCCCAGACCATGGCTGGTGTTAGTCAGCACTGAGGAGCCAAAACTAAACAGGGGGTTCAAAATGTAATGAATTCCTCCTCAGAGCAACGAGCCCATAAATATGAGGCACTTTCTCAGCAAGTCAGGGCAAGAGCAGGTGCTCTGCAGGTCCTGGGCAAACATGAAGCTCGTGCTGGAGGGGGGCAGAGCCTGTGTTTGTGGAAAAGGAGGTGATGTTTAAGGGTAGGACTGATTTTCTGTCCAGTTCCCTAAATCTGAGTGTCACAACTGGCCAGGAAGAGAAGCCACTAATCCAATCAGTCAGAGATGGGATCTCAGGGCAAAAAAACCTCCCAGAACTGAGACCTTAATGTGGGGGGCACTGCCCCTGTTTTGTCCCTCATTGGCACCTGCCTGTGTCAGGGATAGTACAGGGGGTTGTGTCCGAGGACTTGACCCCTGACTTTTGGCCATCTAAGGTGAGTTGGCTGAAGAACAGACAATTTTTGGACAGTTTTTTGAAGTCTTGTTGGTCATGATGCATCCTCCGGTGTTGACATATCTTTAGACTCTGCTAAATTGAACTAAATCACCGTATACCCCATGTCCCTTTTCTCATGGAAAAGGGAGTATAAATTAAATTATGTCACCTTACACCCCCTGTCTCATTGTCATGCAGTGTGGGTAGTGCAGGGCTGTAGGAATGGATAAGGAGTGGGGGATCCTTGGAGGACTCTGTGTTGAACCCAACAGCCTCCCCTGCTGGCTCTTCACTGGTGCTCCTCAGGATGCAGCTGGGCCACTGCAGAGCTCCAGTCTCAGTCTCAGTGCTGGGCTGGCACTGCAGCCCCATCCAGGCTCCCTCCCCCTGCACAGAGCGGGGTCAGAGCTCAGGGCTTGGAGCAATGTCCCCTCATCAAACTGTCCTAGCAGGGCCTGCACCCTGAGGCAGCCAAGAGCTTCCCAGAGAAGGACCAGAGATCTTTTCTCATTGGAAACCACACATATCAATTTTCTGCACTTAAAAAGCACCATCCTTGTTTTCCTCAGGAGTATCCCACCCATTTCTAGTCCATCTCTTGGAGCTGTTTTATTCCAGTGCAATCAGAGTGTTTCCTCCCTGAGTGTCTCCTCATCAGCTGTATTTGCTGACAAGGGTGATGGGTTTTATTGGTTCCATCCACACTCATGGTCCCCCTTCAGAAACAGCCAATTTTGATACTCCCCTCTATGAAATATGCCACAGAAATTGGATTTTGCACCATTGTTTGGTGACAAAAGGCAGGAAATTAAAGAGGCAACATTTCAGTAAAAGCCTGTGTGTTCTTCCTCTTTACCTGCTTTTGCTGGAAATGACATTGGAGATTATTGTGAGCTCAGGAGAGGATTTTATGCAGCAAAGATTTGCTGGTTTGTCAGTGAATGGATGTGCTGCACAAGGCTTTGGAGTCAGGCAGCGTTCCTGTGTAGTCAGTTTGGAAGGGAAATATAATTACAATGATTTTAAACCCCTAAATGTTTGCAGGAGATTAGAAGGAATTCGAGTTTGAAATCCTTTTAATACATTTTTCCAAACTGTCTGTGTTTCAAGTTCCTGTCTCTGGTTACTGCACAGAGCCAGGTCATGTGTGCATTAAACTGAGTCTCTGAGGTTTGACTGAGTACAATTTATGTTTAGATTGCCATTAAATGTAATGTCTTGTGAATGGGAGACATTCAGTTAGTTAGTCTGAATTATTTTTGTGCAAAATATTTATTGTTATCCTCCACAGAATTAGCAGCATTTAATTACTTAAATGCAAAAGCTGAAATAATTTTTTCTCTGTTTGTTTTTCTTTTGGATGTAATTACAGAAATGTGGGAAATACTTTTCCAAGGCTTTTGAACTCAGAAGTGGAACAGAAGGAAGACACAGGGGGACATACACCATTCAGTGTTATTTTCCTTGCACGGGAAAAAAAAAAGAAAAAGATCCTTATGAGATGAGCACTAAAGTCTCAAGTTTTCAAAGGTTTGCATAACAAACAAGAGACACATTGTGGGTTGCATCTTGACTTTGAAGGCTTGCCACTGTCAACTGAAATAAAATGGCAAGGTTTAAAGCCTTAACCAAGTTCACAAGGAAAATATTTGGACTAAAAGTTTTGGAAAGTTTTCTCTCTTTGAAGTAGTTTGTCATGTGTTACCAATGTGAACTTTATTGACCTCGAAACATTTTTTTTTGAATCAAATAGCAACTAGTGACACTTTAGTAAAATCTTAAATCAACAACCATCTCCTGGCGGCTCCAGCTCCGTAGCAAATGCAGGCAAAACAGGGAATCTACAGAGGAGACCTTTATTATTCGTAAATGAAGCCTGCCAAAACCTTCCCAAAATAGCATTCAGAGACCCTTTTAAGGTCATGGATCCTGAACAAAGCCAGAAGAGCACAAAAAAGGCTGAGGAAAGTCCAAGACAGAGGCTTCCCAAAGGAGAGGCTTTCCAAGCCAGTATTTCATCCACAACTACGTACCAGGGCAGCTCTGCTCCTTCCCAAGGAACCCCTCTCCGAGATATCATATCGCAGCAGCACTTTTCTGGCCCTCTGCCCGTTCCAAGAGAGGAGTCTCAGGAGAAGACTGGACATCAGAAGCAACCCAAGCCTTCCTCTTTCGAACACCCTCCCCACCTCTCGCAGCTTCAGCAGCACGCACTGTCACCAGCATTTATGTCCCCGGGGAAGCCAGAGCATGTCCTCGAGGGTCCCACGTGGCAGCTAGTTGATCCAGTGAGACCAGGGCCCTCTGGCTCCTTTTCATCACCCGGGCTCCACTCTCACCACGGCCAGCTCCTGCCTTCCCACTCGCAGATCATTCCCGGAGAGGACATGCCGTCCGTTCAAAAGGTCTACATCCCTCGCCCTTCCCAGGTTTCCTTAAAACAGGCCGAGGAAGTGCACAAGAAGGAAAAGAAACCCCAAAAGCCAGGCAAGTACATCTGCCAGTACTGCAGCAGGCCCTGTGCGAAGCCAAGCGTGCTCCAGAAACACATCAGGTCGCACACGGGCGAGAGGCCGTACCCTTGCATTCCATGTGGCTTCTCTTTTAAGACTAAGAGCAATTTGTACAAACATAGGAAATCTCATGCTCATCGGATAAAAGCTGGGCTGGCCTCAGGGATTGGAGCAGAGATGTATCCATCGAGCCTGGAGATGGAGAGGATCGGCGGGGAGGACTTCGAGGAGCCCACAGAAGGAGAGAGCACGGACTCGGAGGAGGAGACGGCCGCGATGTCGGGGCACTCGGTCGAGCTCTCCCCCAGGCAGAAGCACAGCCTGCTGTCCAGCAGCTTGCTGAGTGCAGGGAGCCAAGGCTCCAGCCACGACCGGTGTTCCTTGTCCCATTCCAGCATGTCCCAGTCCCTGGAGGACAGCAGCCAGTTCGTGGAGCCCTCGTCAGACCACGCCCTGAGCCATAAATCCGAGGACACCCACACGATCAAGCAGAAGCTCGCGCTCCGCCTGAGCGAGAGGAAGAAGGTGATCGATGAACAGGCTTTCTTGAGCCCCGGCAGCAAAGGCAGCACCGAGTCAGGATACTTCTCCAGGTCAGAGAGTGCAGAGCAGCAGATCAGCCCCCCGAACACCAACGCCAAATCTTATGCAGAGATTATTTTTGGGAAGTGTGGGAGAATCGGGCAAAGGACGGCGGCGTTGGCTGCCAACACCACCCAGGGGTTTCCACACCTGTCCACGGATGAGAAGCCCAGCATGGTCCCATTGTCTGTGCCTAGAACACAGGTGATTGAACACATCACTAAGCTAATTACAATTAATGAAGCTGTTGTAGATACCAGTGAAATAGATAGTGTTAAGCCTAGAAGAAGCTCTTTATCTAGACGTAGCAGCATCGAATCTCCAAAGTCTGGTGTATATAGAGAACCGTTCCAGTTCGATATCAAGTCTGGTTCCAGTAGCCAGTTGGATGCTTCCAAAGTGTTGGCATCCCACAGTGAAAAAATTAAGCCCGAACAATCATTGTTGTCACTTCAGCAATCCCACAGTGCCACAGAGACAGTGCCTCTCCTAAGAAGCCACTCAATGCCTTCTGCTGCATGCACTATAAGCTCCCCACACACCTTTAGAGGTAGCTACTCATTTGATGATCACATCATGGAGCCTGAAGTCTTAAGCCGCAGTCAAGCGTTTTCTTCTCACCCTCGAATGCTAAAACGACAACCAGCTATTGAGCTGCCCTTGGGAGTGGAATATGTCTCAGAGGAGATCGGCTCTGCCAACAAAGAAACTGTTTCCAAACCTCCCGAGGAGCCTGAAACCAAGGAAAGCGATCTTACCAAAAAGTCACGGAAGGGCCCCAAGGTGAAAGGGTTCATGTACGAGTGCAACGTGTGCGGTGCTCGCTACAAGAAAAGGGACAATTATGAAGCCCATAAGAAGTACTACTGCTCAGAACTGCAGCTCTCCAAGCCTCGCTCTTCTGCTTCCCATCCCTCTTCAGAGACCGAGAAAGGCGCTGCAGATCCCGACCCCTGGCCCCAGATGATGCATTACAAGCTGGGGAGCACTTTGGAGCTCACCCCGCTCCGCAAAAGGCGGAAGGAGAAGAGTCTTGGTGACGACGAGGAGCCTCCAGCTTTTGAAGTGTCTGACACCCCCTCCTCCAGCGCCGGGCCAGGGGCTCAGTTTGCAAACCCGGCGTCGTCGGATGTGGCTCTGAACCTGACCCGTGAATCCATGAAGTCACCAGCAGATCCAGGTAAATCCGCCCCTTCTGACGTCAGTGCCACCTTCCATCCCAGGAACACCAAACCAGCCTCGAGTGGGGAGGGCAAGGACAGGAGAACGACCTCCAAGGAGATCTCTGTCATCCAGCACACGAGCTCCTTTGAGAAGTCTGACTCCATCGAGCAGGCGAGCGGCTTGGAAGAAGAGAAGCCCTTGTCCCAGTTCCCGTCGCAGCCAGCGCCCCAGCACAGCCGCCCGCCCCACTCCCTGCAGCCCCGGCTGGTCCGGCAGCACAACATCCAGGTGCCGGAGATTCTGGTCACAGAAGAGCCTGACAGGCCAGAAACAGAGCCAGAACCTCCTCCAAAAGAGCCAGAGAAAACAGAGGAGTTCCAGTGGCCACAGAGGAGCCAGACCCTCTCCCAGCTCCCTGCAGAGAAGCTCCCACCCAAAAAGAAGCGGCTCCGGCTGGCGGAGATGGCTCAGTCCTCCGGGGAGTCCAGCTTCGAGTCCGTGTCTCTCACCCGCAGCCCGAGTCAGGAGAGCAGCGTCTCCCACGGCTCCAGCCACTCCGTGTCCTTCGATCGGGATGATCACAGCAAGCCAGAGCCCAGCAGCCAGCCCTCCGAGTCCCACCCGAAGCCTCCTGGCGTCGGCTCACACATGCTGATGGTCCCGAGCCACCATCACCACTCCAGGGAAATGCGGAGATCTGCCTCTGAGCAGACACCCAACGTGTCCCACCCTTCCCAGATGTCGGAGACACGCAGCAAATCGTTTGACTATGGGAGCTTGTCGTCCACTCCTGCCTCAACCCCTGGCCCCTCAAGCTCCTCGGCTTCCCAGGAGAGGAGGAAATGCTTCCTGGTCCGGCAGGCGTCCCTCACCAGGCACCCAGAGCACGACCCAGACCTGGCTCCCGCAGGCTGGACGGAGACAGAAGATCCAGCTCCTTCCTCAAGTAAATCTTCTTCCACCAGTTTGCCCCATCAGCCGAGCTCTTCACCCCCTCTGCCCTCTCACGGGACTTACCCCAGTGAGAAGAGCCAGCCAAAGGACAGCCCTGAGCCCACCTACAGCCCGCCCTACACGGAGGCCCTGCAGGTGTTCCACCACCCCGTCCCACAGCTGACGCTGCACGAGAAGCAGTTCCTGTCCCCGCAGGTCTCCATATTCCCCTACCAGCACCTCCTGCCGCAGCCAGGGCAGTCTGCAGAGCTCTTTGCTGCACACACCATGTCTGACATCCTCTCTGCTCAGTTCTCCATGCCCCAGATCCCTCCCTCCATATTCCAGACCCCGCCACTGCCTCTCCCACAGACGCTCATCCACCCCGGCCCACTCCACATCGCTCCGCCACTGATGTCTCACCCCGCTGAGGTGTCCTTCAGGCATCCCTCATTCCTGCCCGTGCACTACCCTGGCTCCTCTCCCATCCCCTCAGCCTTTTTTCTGCCTCTCCAGTCTCAGTTTGCTCTCCACTTGCCAGGTGAAGCTGGTGGACATTTACCACAGCTCAAATCCAGTTTATTCCCAGCAGCAGGAGCTTCCAGCCTCTCCCCGTGCACAGAGTACGACTCTGACAGCAGGCTGCACCCTCTGACCTGCACTGCCAGCCCCTCGGTGTCCGTGACGGTGACCCAGCTGGTCGTCCCCACGTGCTCGGAGCCGATGGTGTCCCTGGTGGTGCCCGTGCGCATCCAGACGAACATGCCGTCCTACGGCAGCGCCATGTACACCACCCTCTCCCAGATCCTGGTCACCCAGTCCCAGTGCAGCTCCTCCACCATTGTCCTCCCCAAATTCAACGACCGCCCGCCCAAGGGTGCCCTGGTGTGCAGCGCCGACGTCCACGGGCTGGGCTTCGACCTGGCCCAGATGATCACGGAGGAGCAGAGGAGCCTTTTCCAGAGCCCCTACCTGAGGGTGCCCCTGCCCCTGCCCGAGCGCAAGGGGTACATGCCCCTCACCTGCCCCTCCGACAGCGTCCTCGGCCTGGAAGGGGGCCCAGCTACGGTCGGGGGAAGCAAAAGGATGCTCTCCCCAGCCGGCAGCTTGGAGCTGACGATGGAAACACAACAGCAGAAGAGAGTGAAAGAGGAGGAAGTGTCTGAAGCAGAAGAGAAGTTGGAAGTGGTGAAGCCCCCCAGTGCAACAGAGGAAGGGAAAAAGCAGGAGAAATCTCACTTCCTTGCGGAAAACCAGGACAGGGTCGAGGTTGAAGCACCACCTAGTTTGTCCACAGAGCAGTCAGAGCCAAAGGAAACCCCGAGCAGTTTGCAGCAGGCTGTGTCGCATTCAGGTTCTCCAAGCTTTGAGGCACTGGAAGAGTATGAGCAGCCAGCTGGCAAACAGTTCCTCAGCAAGGCACCTTTGCAACCCGTGAAGAAAGAAGACTCCAAAGAACAGGTGGAGCCGTCTCCACCGAACCCCCCGAGCACTGCCCCGCCGTCCGAGGGCACCCAGAGTGCAATGAAGTCTCAAGAAGGTACAGACACGAAGAAGGTACTTCAGTTCCCCAGCCTCCACACAACCACTAATGTCAGTTGGTGCTATTTAAACTACATCAAGCCAAATCACATCCAGCAAGTGGATCGGCGCTCCTCGGTTTATGCCAGCTGGTGCATCAGCCTCTACAACCCCAACCTGCCCGGGATCTCCACCAAGGCAGCCCTGTCCCTCCTGAGGTCCAAGCAGAAGGTGAGCAAGGAGACCTACACCATGGCCACGGCTCCCCGTCCGGAGGCAGGCAGGCTGGTCCCAGCCAGCTCCAGGAAGCCCAAAATGACAGAGGTAATGCAATCCTATCTATTTCTCCTCATCCACACGTGGGGAGAGGGGGATGAGGGACGGGGAATCGCTGTTGTTGGGTTAATAGGGGTTTACTCAGCCCCCTCTGGGGTTGGGAAGCGCTTGTTCTCGGTGAAACTTGTAGAGTGAGGAAGCAAACCCCCACTGTAACCAAAAACCAGAGCAGGCAGGTGAGCTCCAAGGCTCCACATTTCTGTTCTCCAGTTTCTGCTTGCCTTGTAATCACAAGGAATCACAACCTCACCACCAACCACCCCTGCTCAAGCACAAAGGATTACACCTCATTTGCATTTGTCTTGATATTTCAAATAGCTTTACAACTTCTTCTTCTTTTTTTTTTTTCATAAATGCTGTTCTAATTCCCTCCATTTTGCCTGTTCTAAATGAGAAAGGATTACCCTGGGGAAATGGGATTCTGCCTGGTTGTGCATCTGCTCATCTCACATTAATGAACATGGAGAGGCATGCTTAAAAGTATTTAAAAATATTAAAGGGAGATTTGCAAGTGTATTTAGGCCCCTGAAGAAGTGTGAAGGCATACAGTGACATTTCTAAAAGTGCCTCAGAAGGTCAGACACGGGGTCTTGTTAAACACCCGTGTCGTGGGGTCCATCCCATGTCTGTAACTGTCCACCTGCTTTCCCAGCTCTCCAAGGGTATTTTAGACCTGGCTTTAGAGTTTAGAGGAGCAAGGCAAACAGCTCACAGGGGCAGAGCTCCCAATGGCAGTGGCCATAGGGGCAAAGAAGTCTTTAAGATGCTTCTGTGAGCTGCCTCATATTCTGTATCTCATTTTAAGGCCAGATTTACCCCTCTGGGTTAATGCTGAACCACACAGATCCCTTTAATCCAGATCATGTTCGTGTAGATTAGCCAACAGAATTGCTCTAAAGATTTGGCAATTTGATATTCATCTCAAGTCAATTTATATTGATGGATTATTCATTTTATTTCTGTATCATGAAATGAACTCTGAATATTAAATTTATCATAATCGCTGCTGCAGCTGCTGCTTATAAATATGTCTTAAAATACACAGTAGAGTTGCTTTGATTCAATAAATCTTTATTTCTATTCAGCATTTCCATCATCCTTCTGCAGAAATGCAAAAGGCAGATTTCTGGGGCCGTAGGGGCAGATAATTACCTGAGCAGTGTAATAACCACACCAAGGCTTGATATTTATGCACTGTTTTTCAAAGGATTTGATCTGACTGGTGTTGTACCACCCTTGATTTCATTCTCCAGTAGAAGTGCCTGTGCTTCTCCGAGCTTTGCTCTTTGACATGGTGCTAAAGTGCCCACCAAGGGTGTGTTCAGAGATAGGAGACCCTCAGACCCCGAAATGAAAGGTTAAATTCCAGACAGGAAGGTTCAGCCCTTCGTCATCAAAATACACATTTCATGCATGCATTTGCTCCAAAGGCTCATAAACCTGTTAAAAAACCCCCTCTAATCTGACTGGTGGTGCAAGTCAAGGTTTTCGTGGCACAATTTGCAAAAGGGAGAGTTTGTCCTGCCAAATTCACCTGGAGAACGGTGGAGCCTAAATCCAGCCTGCAGTGTGGTTTGCAGGAAGTGTGGTAATTTCAGGGAAGAGAACTTGAATTCATGCCAAGCAGAGGAAGAATTTCTGATCAGTGGGAGCGAAATCCTGAGTTTAATATTTAAAATACATCTGGCTGGCACAGATTAGGAAGTGGCGTGGTGGGTGATTAACAGGACATGTGTGACAGCAGCATCAATCCGAGGCTGAAAGTTCACTTAACTCTGCTCCAGCTATTTCCCTTCAATATTTACTTCTTTGTGTAACTCTAAGTTGTCAGTAACACAGCAGAAGATGTCAAAAGGCTCTGATATTTTGTACCATTATGCATGCAGAAGCTCCCAGCAAGCACTAGTCCTGGATGTGCTGTCTACATACTTGTCTTGGGTTTTAAATTCCCAGGGGGATTTGCTGAGCAGATAATTCTGGAGGGACTGTGGGCACCAGCTGCATGTAGGGATGGATAAATACACTGTACTGGGCTTGCACACTTTGTAAATTCAATGAGATTGTAAAAGGGGATAGTAGTGACTGTATGATTTTGGCTCTCTGGTGCCTTTCATCTCTCTGTGTTCTGTGCTTTCAAAAGTTGCAATAAATAAACCTCATGCTACATCTAGAAAGTCAATTGTTTTGTATTCCTCAGTAAAATTCCCACCCTGGGAAGGTTGTCACTGGCAATGTTCTGGCATTGCTCATGTCAGGAGGTTTATTTGGAAGGTGCTCTGCCACTGATTCCCCCCCAGATGTCTCCATGCCCAGGGACAGCAGCTGGAGACCATTCCAGCTGTTCAGTTGTTAAATGGTTCCTGGCCCTGCTCTGTCCTCACTGCCCTTCCTCCAGCAATTGCTGGGCACATTTGGGGAGCTGGGACAGCACAGGGACCATCCCAGGAGGCATCTAGGGAGGGTGTGTGGGTGTGATGTGTGGATCTGAACCAGCTGGTCCCAAGGGCAAAGAGCCTCAAGTGGAGCTCCTGGAATTGCTGGGCAGGTTTGAAGTGTTTGACCTCAGGGTTGCAAAGCTGCTGTTTTAGTGAGCCCACCCCTCCTCCTGCTGAGCATCCCCTGGTAGTTCCAGCAGCCTGCTGGAATTTTGGATGTCTCCATTTGAGCTGTTCACTCTGTGGCTTCCTCTGTAACCACGGGAGACAAAGAGGCTCCTCTTGGGTGATTCATCCCCCTTAAGACGAGGGCTTAGGTGGGGCAGGTGAGTCACCCTTGAGAGCTGCCACTCTTGCCAAGGGTGACCAGCTCTGCTTTACACTTCTGCCAGTTCCTTGGCTGAGTTCAGGCCAAAGTCCCTCTAAAAACTCTGGTAAAAACTCTTTATGTAATATATATAAACTGAGGATATGGGTAATTCAATTGAACATTAAAAAATGATCTAAAAGGTGACCTGGGGTGAAAGGCAACCTACTTTCTTCCTTCAGAGCTCTGGAGCCCCCTGTTATTTGTCCTGTTGGGCTTTAGAAGGGCAGGATTCCCAACATTTCATGCTCTCCTTGCTTTGTACAAGGCTAAAGAGGCAGCTCTAATGTTTAGGTCCACCTACTACAAGAAAGAACATTCAACATGTAAGTGAGTTGTCAGTGCACGACTTAAACCTTGGCCTAAACAAGGCTTAGACACAAAAACCCCCTAAACAAGGTGGCAACTTGAAGAGTGAAAGAGCAGATTTTACCCTGGGAACATGTGGGGAGGTGGAGGATTATTTTCTCCCGTGGGTTTTGTGGCTTTCTCTGTGCTGTGCCCTTGGCAACGGGGTTTGAGCGAGAGGAAATCACCCGAGAGCTCCGACTGTCGAGTGATTTATGTCAAGCCCAGATGGCTGAAGTCCAGCTTTGTGTGAGTGTGTGTGTATGTGGGGGGAAACCCAGGGGTTGAGGTTAAGTGTATGAATTCTGCAGATGCCTTCTCTCCAGACGTTTGCAGATGTAGATGTTGGAGAGAGGATTATCCAAGGACAGAGCAGTGGATTTGGGAACAGAGGTCCATGGCTCCACCACACAGAGTCACCCCAGCCAAGACACTTCTCTTTATCCCTCAGTTTTCCAGTTGGATAATATGGAGCCACCATATGCAGGGAGTGATTTAAAAACCCATAGCAGGTCACAGTAAATAGAACCCAACCAAAATCCAGAGGCATATCTGCTTGGTAGGAATGTGTCCCAATTCCTGCCCTTGGCTGTCAGGAGCAGCACCTGCAGGAGTTGCTGGCTCTTGGTGAGGCTGTTTGGTCTGTTTTAGAGTGATTTTGTATGTAATCATTGATTGTTTTGCTCTTTTGGGGAGATAGGTTCATTTGCCTTCGCTCCTTTCTAATGAAGGTCGAAAAGATATAACTAGAGCTGAGAAGGAAGAGGAAAAAAGAGGAAAAGCAGAAGAAGAGGCTCTTGTGACCAAACGAGGGGAGCCAGTCAGGATCAAGATCTTTGAAGGAGGGTAAGTGTCCCATTTCTTTCTCTTTGAGTGTCACAGCTGTGTGGGAGTTATTGGTTACAGTGATGGCAGTGAAAGTGCCTCATGGAGGTGAGCAGAAGGCCAGAGGTAGTTGGATTTCAGCCACTGTAAAAGCTTGGCCCTCCAGATCCACAGATACTCCAGACTGCACTAATTCCCTGTTTTTGAGCTGTCTCTAAGTTAGCAATCACCTCCATCTCTTTTCTGAGTGGGTGTTTGAGTGAAGATGGGTGAAGAGCACAAATTCATCTTGTAGCTGTCTCTGATGTGACAGAGGTATTCTCTGTATCTTAATCTTTCCAGAGCCTTCTGAAAATGATGTTGTTAATGGTTGTTCCCATTATAAGGAGGATCTGGGGAGATCTTTGCTGATGCCTGGGTTTTGGGTGGGGAACAAAAGAAGGGTTATATTCATGTGATTTTCATCCCACCCAACCAAAATAGCTCAAACCAGAATGGATGCAAGGTCTTAATTTGATGTATATCTTAAATCTCGGCTCCAGGTAATTCAGAGTCTGCCTCAGGAATTCAGCTCTGGTCTAATGCTACTGTTTATCTTTAAAAAATGCAAAAATCAGGTAATAAGTAGTGTGTTTTGTGGGATGCAATTACAGTTCATCCTTCCTGTGTGTTGCAAAGGGGGGCCAAAGAGACGTGAGCAATCTCCAGCAGGATTTATCAGCTCTGCTCTTGCCGTTGGGTGGTCTTGGTTTCTGTGTGTTAGAAAAAGGCTTTAATTAGTCAGTGGTTGTGGTTTGCTGCTGTTACCGGTTGACGTTTGCTTTTCTTTTAAAATATTTCATTAGCAGATGATCAAACTGACAAACCAAAAGAGAAAAACGTTGCTTTGGGAAAGGAAACCCGTGTGTTTGTCCAGGAGAACTCACCTCTCCCCCAGATGTAGGGACTGTGTGTCTAAACCCAGCTGAGGTTTAGATCCCTCACAGTGAGGGGTGAATGCAAAGAGCCAAAGCAGTGCCAGCCTGTCACGGCTGTGACCTGAAGTGATTTAGGGAGGGGGCCAGGGAATGGCAGGAAAGCAGTGGAATGAGAAATTGGATGTGCTCAGTATGTTGCCATCACCTTCCTGGGGCAGCTGGGACTTGTGGGATGAACTGAGCTGGGTTTTATTGCCTTAAACCCAGGGGAAGCCTCTGTTTCCCTTGACTGGGTTGTCCTGGAGCTGTGGCTGTTCAGGGGGACTCTTGGATTCCTTCCTGGATGTGATTAAAGCAGTTCAGCATTACTGTGACTGAAAACCCCCTGCCCCTCACAGAGATTGTGTGGGGAGGGCTGGGGGTGCTCAGTGCTGTCCCTGACTGTCCCCCCCAGACAAGCTGCATCTCCACACCCCTGTGCTCCCATGTCTGCATCCCCCAGCACAGCCCAGGGGATGCAAAACCACGTTTTCTGAATGGCAGACACGAAATAAAGCAGCTTTCCCAATCTGCTTCCTGCACAGCAGCACCAGGAACTGTGTGAACACCTTGAATGTGTGCTGGATTTGACTGGAAAGTTCCTGGAGCTGGGATGGGAGGCAGGATGTAGTGGCTGCTGAATGCCAAGCACAGGCACTGATGGAACCCCCCAGGTCACAGAGATTCATTTCATGTGTGAATTCTGTAGGATACTCCCTGCTGAGGGGCAGGAGGGACAAGCTGCTCTCTCAAGGTGCTCCGTGTGTACCTGGTGCTCTGGGCCTTGTTCCCACAGGGTTTCTCCTGTGGAATTGTTCATCCTCAGCAGCTGTGTCTACAGGGATCCCAGGATTCCAGACTGTGCTGAGCTGGAAGGGACCCCCAAGGCTCATGGAGTCCAACCCTCAGCCCTGCACAGGCCCAGCCCCAAGAGTCACCCCCTGTGCCCCAGAGGATCAGCCAAACCCTCCTGCAGCTCTGGCAGCCTTGGGGCTGTGCCCACTGCTCTGGGGAGCCTGGGCAGTGCCCAACCAGCCTCTGGGGGAAGAACCTTTGCCTGAGATCCAACCTGAGCCTGCCCTGACACAGCTCCAGCCCTTCCCTGGGTGCTGTCCCTGCTCCCCCAGAGCAGAGCTCAGTCCCTGCCCCTCCTCTGCCCCTGCCCAGGAATTGGAACTGCACTGAGGTCTCCCCTCAGTCTCCTCTGCTCCAGCTGAACACACCAAGGGACTGTTTTCTTGCAGTGAAGGAACAATCCTGCAGAGGAATCCACAGGGTGCCTAATGCTTTGTGCAAGCTCCCAAATGGATCAGCCCCCTTTCCTGGCCATCTCTTGAAAATGTTTTACAAGAAGTGCACCATTCTCAAGATCTTATTTCACTGCCTTATTTTTTTCCTCATAAAAATTTCCTCCTTGACTCATTTTCCCCTTGTTTATTGGTTTCACATGGTGTGCTGCTGGCTGGACCCATCCTTCCAGTGGGATGCAGTTGGTTTCAAAGCTTTTGAAGCCACCCCATGCTTTGTTGCCTCAACCAAGGAGGGAGATTATAAAGAAATCCAAGAGTTCCCATAAAAGGTGAACTTGCTGCAGCTCTTTCAGCTCCTTCTTCCCCTCAGTTTTTATTTCTTCAGAGCTCTTGCCTTTCTCTCTGCCATTTTCAACACTTGCTTTTCCCTCTGTACAGTCTTGTGGCTTCCTCAGTCCCACCACTGCCTTTCCCCTTTTGCAACGTTCCTTACAGCACTTCCAGGACCAGCTCTGCTGCCTCCCCTGTTGCTGTCCAGTCTTCCAGCTGGAATTGTATTTCCTGGCTTTCAGGGGAGACCAGAAAAGCCAAATTTCATCCTTTCACCATCCTCATGGCCCATTTTTAAGGAATGAACTGATGAACCTGCCAGAGGCTCTTGGAGCACTGGGGGCAGATTGGCTTCCTTTCTCTCATTTGAAGATGTCTCCTCCCTGGATATGGAAGTGGATGGTTCCTTTGCCTATGTTTTCCCACTGAGAAGTGTTTTGGACACAGCAGCTTGCAGGTTCCTTGAGCCTTGACCCAGGTTCATGCTTGGGTTTGGGACAGGGCTCAGTAAAGCCAGGCTTGGGCTGTGCTGGGCTCAGTTTTTTTCCTGCCCACTCTTTCCATGAAGGAAGTTGTTCAGTCCCTGTGGGGCCATCTCAGCATGTGGAGTTTGGCCAGTGGGGCTGTCAGGAGGACCTGGGTGGTGGAGAAGTCCAGCTCCCCTTGAGTTACCAGCCAGTGCAGAACCTGCCTCCCTTGGCCTCCTGAGATGAAGAGAAAACCCTGTGTAGTGTCTCTGGTTTCTTGGGGACATCAGAAGGGACACGTGTGGTTCTGCCTTGACTTTTCCACACTTATTGGAGTTGGAATCCACTGAGTTTTCTGTTGGACTCCTTTTTAAAGAACAAATTCCTCTTAGAGAGCAAAGTCTGGACATCACTCCACATGTAATTTCAGGAGTGGCTTTTTCCTTGCAGTCATGACATTTTGTGAGACAGAGTGTGTCTCCACTGCAAGCAGGATGACCTCTGTCCCATGGGCACAGCCCAGCACTTGACTGAGGGAGATTGGAGTCATGTAACACCCTCCAGACAGGCTGGACACTGCACAGGCTCCTCAGGTTGTGTTTGGGAGAACCATAAGCAGCCAGGTCAATGTTTGTGCTCCTGAAGGAGCCAATCAAAACAGCCATTGGCCTTGTCCTGAGGGATATTGTGGTGGTTTTGAGCAGTGAAAATGATCTTTGAAGGTCAAGCTGGGCAGCTCTGCTTCAGGAGAAGTGCTGGGATTCCTTGGTGCCTCAGTGTCACCTTCTCCAACTCCCTCTGGTGCTCTGGAGACACCAGGCCCCTTCTGAAATCTGACAGCATGAAACCAGAGATTGGTATCGACCTGAGCTGCCAGTGAGGGCTGGGATGGTGTCATGGTCCTGCCAGGGGGATGGGGCCTGTTTGCTGTGCACTGCCATTACCACGAGGAAATCTGAGAGCTCTAGGGTGGGCTGAGTCAATAGATGTTCTGTTATTTCATAGCCAAAGTCCCTGTGCTTTCATGGGGCCCAGCAGTTGGGTTGTTGCTCTGGTTGATTACAACCAGTAGGGAAAGCAGGACCAAGATGTGGAAGGTGAAAGACCTCTAACCTGAACTGACACCCCCAAACCAGTGAAACTGTGTCAAAAGCAAAGCTCTCTTCGGAAAACTGTTCCCTTTTTTTTAACCTACTTTAGGGAAAAACACTCATGGTTGTAACCCTGTGATTGCAGACACGAGTATCCTTAAAAACACCTCCCCTTCACACCACACCATGTGTACAAATACACACAGAGAAAGGGGAAGTTTTAACTTCAGGAGAGATGTTTGTAGTGCTGTTGTGACCCAGAGGCTGCTGCAGTTGATGGTTTGGTCTGACTCTTGGAGGAATCCAATCCCTTCCCTCTTTGTCCTCACCAACAGAGAGTTGTAGGTTCCCCAGCCGTGGGATCTTCTGACCTGGGATTTTGGGACAAAGCCCCTTCTGCCCAGTGCCATTCCAGTGCCTGGGGGGTGCAGGAGCTTTGACCATGGCATTCCCTGGGGAGCCCCAGGGCTGGAGGTGGATGCTGCCACGTGGCTTTTCCCTTTGTCTCCCTGCCTGTGGGGTTTTAGGCAGGCAGGGAGGTGACAGAGCCTCTCAGCCTGTCCAGCAAGAGGTTTTTCCCTGCTCCAAGGAAGATGGAGAAGCCTTGGGACTGCTTTCTGGGATTTGAGCATGACTGGTAAGCAGAGGATGTGAAAGCCTCCCTCCCCCAGCTCCTCTCCCAGTTCCCACCCCGAGGACTCCCTGGGATCTCTGTTTGGATCTCTGGGGTGATCTCACTCCATGTCTGTGACCAGAGCAGCTCCCACTGACCAAGCTCGTGGAAAATCCCTGGCACAGCCCTGGAAGGGTCTTATTACCCCAGAGAAACCTCTCTGTTAAACAAGCAGAAGTTTCTCAATGTAACTGCAAACCCCTGCACTGGAGCCATTCTCTGAGGGGATTTCCTTTGCTGCTCAGGGAGTTCTG